GAGCCACCGGTGAATAAAAGAACATGCCTTTACTAGGTATGAAGGAACAAAAGTTTGCACTAATTTCTTGAAATTCATGATGGGAAAGGAGGAAGCACCTACCACTCGAAATTTCTTAAATTTCTGTTGGTGTCATTAATGCAAGCTATATTCTTATTTTCATATTCTAGTCTGATTCCGATCAATTCATCCATATTTGTTCTCAAATCGAATATTTGTGTATATTTGTTTGTAGTATTTTGAGGTTATAGTGTCGCTGTCATTTCGGAAGCCACCAGTAATGAATGAACGCGTGATTACGTCAAACTGGAATCCACTAAAGAATATATGAACACAGTTGGTGGATTGATGGAGCCACCGGTGAATAAAAGAACATGCCTTTACTAGTAATTGTGTCAAAATTACAACTTAGTGTGACTAAACATGTTGTCGCAGTAAGTTGTATGTTGCTTTGGTGGAGACATATCTTAACAATACGAATTGGTTAATATGGAAATAATTCTAAATTTCTGATTGGTAGAGTTACTCTATTTATATCCACATATATTCGAAAGATTATTTCAACTGTCAAACTTACACTCTTTGTAATTATGCATCAAGTTATCGGTGTACAGGGTGCGCCTCTTAAAATGGAACCCCCCTTAACTCTTTTGTTTTCGGAGATATGAAAAAATGTCAAATGAAGAAGTTGTTTGAAACGACCCAAACTTTCATTTCGTGAAGTTGTTTCATATACAGGTTCATTCGTTTTTCCAGAAAAAACATCAACTTTCATTTTTTCAATGGAACACCCTATATATTTTTCGACATGTCGATAGAACTTTTTTTTCTGAATCCAAAAATATATATGAGTTGCATATTCGGACGAAGAATAATTGAGTTATAGTTATATAGTTCATTTACTAAATATTGTTCATAGAGATTCATTCAAGTTTGGTTGGCAAGAACTCTTGATGCTATTTTGACATCTACGCATGCGTTACTGTTATAGTGTGATACCAAATCTATCTACATAATGATTTATACTTTATCGACTTTTCCATGGAATATTTTTTCAAAGCCCACTATGTTCAACTATGATATAAAGGTGTTTTGGTCAACTTTGATCATCAATAACTAATTATTTTTCATCCGAATTTGCAACTCTTATATATTTTTGGAATCAGAAAAAAAGCTTTATCGACACGATGGAAAATATATAGGGTGTTCCATTGAAAAAATCAAAGTTGATGTCCTTTCTGGAAAAACGAATGACCCTGTATATGAAACAACTTTACGAAATAAAAGTTTGGGTCGTCTCAAACAACTTTTTTATTTAACATTTTTTCATATCTCCAAAAACAAAAGAGTTAAGAGGGGGTTCCAGTTTAAGAGGCGCACCCTGTACAACCCGAATATTTCGAAGTAATCATAGTATTACTACTGAAAAAAAGCAACCGGCCAACCCAAAAATAGTGACGACTTTTAGGAAGTTTTGATGAAGTGCCTCTTCCATAAATCTCTAAACTTCACTTTTGTAATAAGTTTGCCTCTTTCGGTCGGTATGCCACATTTTGCTTCTTTAAAAACGATGTTAGCTTGAAATATTGACTCAAATTCAAGTTTATTTCAACTTTAAGAACACCTCTTAACACAGAGTAAGAATAAAGTACTTACTCCATTAAGTATTTGGCTGATGTTTTTTATAATTCTGCAAAATAGGCTAGGAACACCTCCTTGATAGGTTGCGTGCAAGAACTGTCAGATGACCGACCCTGGAGGTGAGACATTGAAACACAACCTCACATTTCTCATTTGTTAACAAGTAATTGAAATAATGTTTCACAATTATTTTAGCATAGCAATCGTGTTTTTCGGCTATTCATTAAATCGCGCATGCCATCACATTGTGCTGTTGTACAATGCACAAAAAATGCAGCGAGAGACGAAGGAATCCGGTTGGTACATTATGATTCAAAAGTAAGTACCTACTATAGTCACTCACATATAGTTTTCATTTTGAAAATTGGTAATTTCTATGATTTCCCATCGGAATTCCTTCTACAATAGGAGCTAATAGAAATACTAGTGAAATTTCTAAAAGAATGCAAGAAGATTGGATTCATGCAATCAAACGGGAGGACTGGTCTGACATGCTGACGAAATATGATCTTGTGTGTTGTAGACATGTTCAATCTTATAGCAGTATTAGCTTCTATTGCAGAAGTGGCAGAAGGAATTTTAATAAAAAATGACAAAATTTCATAATGGAAACTATGAGATTACTATGTACCTGAAAAATCATATTCCTTCGTATCTTGCTGCATTTTTTGTGCATTGTACAACAGCAAAATGAGAAGGCATGCTTGTATTAATGAATAGCGCAAAAAACACGATTCTTAAGTCAAAATATTGTAATAAACTATTTCAATCCTTCGATTCCTCTGTAAACAAATAAAAAAATTGAGGTTGTGTTTCAATGTTTCAAAGAAGAGTGAAGTTGTGTTTCAATATTTTACGTTCAGTGTCGGTCATCGTGCACGCGACCTATACTATTTGTCGCTATGTTGTGGCACCATATTCAAATTATATATTGTTTCTCATATTTTTGTTGAGATTTAGCTGGTAGAAATTTCAAACTTGCAGAGTTTGCTGCCTCTAATAGGATGTATCATGATGGCTCGTCGTCAGAACTACTCATTTTAATAGCTTTTGAACCTTTTTTTTGATTTGATGAATAGACTGTCGGTGTTTGTAGATTCTTTCTGCCAGAAACCGGGGAAAACTCTGGCATCATGTCAAAGTTGACAAGTGCACTCATTGTTATTTGACAATATTAGGTACTCAATTTTTTTTTTGTTTTAAGCTGAAATACATACAAATATCGGGAATCATATTGCATAAAATAGTCTACTGAAACCAAAATGGATTCAAATTTCCCTTACTAGTGGCACAGTTGAGAGAATATTACATATACCAGTTGGGTCACTCTCCGAATTCCCTTTGATGTTCGAGTTCAGAAGCGATGCGCCTCATTAGTGGCGGCGACAAAAAATCGGTACAATACCAGGGGCAATCGGACCTCGACAACGTGCGATCTGCGCGTAGAATTTTACCAGGGATCTTCCAGATGTTTGATTGCTGATAGTTATACTCGATTTCAACTTGAATAATAATTGAATTATGATTGTTTATTATATTGAGAAGAATGCAGGGAGGGAATGATCATATATGAAAAAAAAACATCTATTATTATCTTTATAAATATAAAAATTTGAAAAAATCATAAATGTTTTAATATACTTATTTTCGGATTCGCCTTGTTGATTTTACCTGTTTTTATTTCATGATTCAAGAATTTTAGGGTATAATGAATCCTCAATCTTGTATATAATGAAAAGAAATAATCATATGGAAAGTTCTCACATGGATGATGGAATGATTGCTTGTAGAATTCATTTCTCAGTTTCATACCTATTGGAATCTTGTCCAGCTAACTCATTGAACCTTGCAACAAAAATGTTTGTAGACCACCCCTGAACTATAACGAAAAAGACATAAAAAAATTATCGAAAGCCGTTTACGATTTTATTTTTTAGGTTAAAACCGGATGTTGATGAAATATTGGAAAAATATTCTATTCAAAACAGCAAGGAATCTATAGAGAAGATTGTAAATTCACGAAAAAGAATATGGGTAGAAATAGGCTTTGGCAACGGTGAAAATATGCTTTACCAGGTGCTCAATGAACCTGATCTATTATTTATAGGATGTGAGCCCTACTTAAAGGGGGTTTCTCGCTTGCTAACTAACATAGAAATACAAAACATAAAAAACATTTTAATATGGACAGAAGATGCAAGAGGACAGACAGACAGACAGACAGACAGACAGACAGACAGACAGACAGACAGACAGACAGACAGACAGACAGACAGACAGACAGACAGACAGACAGACAGACAGACAGACAGACAGACAGACAGACAGACAGACAGACAGACAGACAGACAGACAGACAGACAGACAGACAGACAGACAGACAGACAGACAGACAGACAGACAGACAGACAGACAGACAGACAGACAGACAGACAGACAGACAGACAGACAGACAGACAGACAGACAGACAGACAGACAGACAGACAGACAGACAGACAGACAGACAGACAGACAGACAGACAGACAGACAGACAGACAGACAGACAGACAGACAAACATTTTTATATATAGAGATGTTACTATAGTAACATCTATCAATTAATATCTATAGATATTAATTGATAGATAAAGATAACCTTTGGAAAGAGTGTATGAACTAGGACCCAGTGAAGAAGGAATGGCAAACTTCTGGAGGCGATTTCGTGCTTCATTCACAAAACAATTTTCAGTGAAATTAAGCTGCAAACTTTCAATCTGCTGTGACCCTGCTCTGATGTTATATTTGCATATCTATGTGTACCTATGAATCCCAACACATTTTTCCAAGCTTGACACCTACAAAACATGATTTGACATGCTCAAATTCACTGCACATTTCTTAACTAAACATGCTTTATTGCTCATCCTGTATAATAATTTGCCAGAATATGTTTTTATCAGCGATCTACGCAACTATTGTTACAATGATATTCCACTTCTATTTCCAAATAGTCACTTGAATGAAATTCGGAAAGCAAATCAATTTCCGAAGTAAATATGAACTTGACATATTTTTCAATTGAAATAGATAGTCTCGTATAACTGATAGACTTTTCATATAATCGAGAATAATTAATCCGAATATATAGAAAGATCGAGAAAATATGCAATGTCGAAATCAGTTGCGAAAATTGCCATTTTGCAGTACATTTCAACAGCAGTTTGGTAACTTTCCCCTTTAATTGTATTTATAATGTAAGTATTTTTTTGCCTGTCCTCATCCAATGGACATCTAAAAAATTATAATTCTCCACCCATTCTACTTCTGCAGCCATCAATAACGCAATACGTTATAGACATACTTATGCTTTAATTCACACTAATAGGCTATTATTTGAGACACTCGATATAGCACGATCGCTGCGTTCACTTGATTCACTATGTACGTAGCCGACTGACGTTCGCTAGCTGCAACTTGCTGCGATCAAGACGGGGAAAGGGGAAGGTAGCCGCGGCACGTTTGGCGGCATTTCGGGGAGTGAGTTAACTGGTATATATTCTCTCAACTGTGCTAGTGGGATTTTTGAGTAGTTTTCGTTTCCCTCATTCAGTGCGGCTCAAAATCTTATCCGCGCAGCGTGAAGAAAAGTGTGACTTTGCGGCCGCAAATATGTGCAGAAAAGTGTGACTCTGCGCACGCTCGTAGGAAAAAGTATCACACGGCTTAGGTATACATATAACTATCTAAGGAAGAACATCATCGTAATAAAAATTTTATTCACCTAATTCTGTAGTACATTTTACAAGCCTGTTTTTTTTAATGTTTGAATATTTGAGGACCTGTTGCTTTAAAAAATTGATAAAATTTTAGACAATAATGTATACCTCTGCTAAGCTTTTAAATTCACATTTTTTTTTTCATTAAAACTTATATTGAATAATGTATCTGGAATTATTTGGTTGCGTCGATCGTTTTCTTCAATTTTTCGTAGTTGGCTCCTGAGAATGTCGTGAGGATTTCCTTGTTCTTGATGAAAACGAAGGTCGGCATAGACGAAATGTTGTAATCCATGGCAATATCTTCACATTCATCGACATCAACCTACAAAAAAAAAATTAAATTATTTTGTCCACTAGCCAGCGGAAAAGTCCGCTTTTCTGCACTCATTTTACTGTTGAAAGTGTCACTTTTCCGCACTAGTGCGGAAAAACTCTCAACACTCAAATGAGTACGGAAAAGAGGAATTTGGGTTTTTTCCGTACGATAGTAGAAAAAATAGTGTACCTAACACGTGACTTTTCCGCTAACGATTGCAGATGGCTGAACGCCGCGTTCACTTTGCGCACTTGTAAGGTAAACTACCATTTTCTACTAGCGTGCGGAGAAATCTACCTCTCCGCACTTCTTCAAATATGAAAGAGTCACTATTTTGTAAATATGTTCAAGTTTCTGGGGAGTATACTGATATTTGAATATTTAATATTAATAAATGTTTATTCCTGTCAACTTTCGAGTTTTTTTCCGCACCCTAGTAGAGAAAATAGTGTACAGGGTGATTCGCCATAAATGTCCCCCTCCCCCCTCTAGCTCACTTATTTTTGAACCGATTCGAAAATTTGGAAGAACATCTGGAATGATTTTTCAGAAATTTTGTTATCGTTGCATCAGAAAATATAGGGTGCTCGGACCAAACGATCGGTAGCGGGAAAAAACTCTATCGAAAATCATTTTAGATGATATTTAAAATTTCGCAATCGGTTCATAAATAATTGAGCTAGAGGGGGGGACATTTATGGTGAATCACCCTGTACCTAACAAGTGCGGAAACTGATGATTTACAGCACGCGATTGCAGATGGCCGAACGACGCTTAGCGGAGTTCTACGATAGTGCAGAAATATGAGTTGACAATGTTGCCGCTTCTCAGACTTTGTGTGAAATATTCATAAAAAATGGTATGTAACGAAATGTTTATTTTTGTATCTAGAGCGCGAAATGCTACTTTGGTGATCGAGATCTGCTTTTTTTAACGAGGCGTGGCCGAGTTAAAAAAATAATCGAGATGACCAAAGTATTTCGGCTCGAGTTGCAAACAACATTTTTTCTACAAACGTCAAAAAATGCAGTTCTGGGGTAAAAATATGCTTAGCTTGGTATACAATATAGTGTTGAACTGGCTTGAAAGGCCTCCCCCTATCCTCCCTAGGTACGCATGATGTTCCACGAACATAATAGGAATTTTCATTTCGTGCGCTCCCAGAGATATTGTTGAACATTCAGAAATAAATGATTTCGTGGATGTATGCTCGATTGAGGACCATGAAGTTGAAATATAAATATCTCATATATTTTACATTTTACAACAATGCGCGAAGTAGGTACTTCGCGTTCGCGCACTGTTTTACTTCGCGCATTGTTTTGTGCAAGGTACCATGGTAACGTAGGAAGCTGAAAAAAAGTGTCACTTCTCAATTTGTTATCAATACGCGAACCTTGTCAGTTTTTGACGTTTGTAGAAAATAGTATATTGTTTAACGAGCACGGAATGATTGTGATTTCCTACGAGAATGAAGTTTGCAGTATGAGCCATAGGCGAATGCTGCAATCATTCCAGTAGGAAATTAGCATTCCGTGCAAGTTATACACTATAACTTTTCTACGGCTATAATAGATAACAGCGGCATTTTCGATTTCTTCGTTTTGTAGCCATCTGATTTCCTGTCAAGTAATGCTCATCTATTAGACAGAGCAATCTTGTGTTCTAGCCGTAGAAAAATCTTGTGTTATAGCCGTAGAAAAATTATGTTGCTATAACTTTGTTGCCAATCAAGATTTTTCAATACAATTTTGCGATTAACCTAATTGAAGGATGCTGAATCCATGCTAATGATATTTCCAGAGTTCCGATGGTATGAGATTCAAATTTGTCAGGGGTGTAGTATTCTAGAATTGGAAAATTTTGCAATACTTCATACTCTCCCATCACTTACAGTTTTACCGGAAATGACCCTAACTTTCGATTTTCGAATGGGACACCATGTGATGTGGGGAAGGAGGAGTGAATCTGGCGAAAAACTGAGATGATCATGTTCACCAGACGCAGGAACAAAGATGGGTTCAAACCACCCACCATGTTTGGTCAAGAGTCGGAATTAGTCCAACAGGTCAAATATCTAGGGGTAGTCCTGGACTCCAAACTTTCATGGAGGCCTCATGTAGACAGAATAGGAAAAACTTGTTACAACCTGAAATCATGTGCAGGCTGTACAGAGCGGGCCAAAATGGTTGCCTTCAAAGGGGAAGTCATTATTCAACTAGATAGAAGAAAACTGATGTCGGTGGCTGGGGGGTCGATACTCATGCAAGACTCAATGGTGAAAACCGCATATCGATATCTGTCTTTGTTTCAGAGTTACAAGGTGTTTATCGAAAAATAGGCATTTTTGAAGAGTGGCTACGAATATTTTTTTGTCAAAAATTGTATGTTCTCATGAAAATAACTGCAGAGCATTGAGTTTGTGATAACAATCATTCCTGAGGCACTGAAATCGGCCTACCTATATTATATAATTTGTTCTTCTTGAAGAAAAAGTTACATTTCCAAACTAAGTATAATAATATGATGACTGATTTTAGTGCCGCAGCACAGGAACGTATGGACCAGCTCCAATCAATACAATCAGTGCAGTCACCGATATCACGAGATATAAAACAATTCTCAAAGGCTTTCCTGAGCTTCTGGGAAATCCATCTAACCGTATGGGAACCAAGCATTCAGTAAAACATTACATTCCAACTATAGGGCCTCCTGTAGCTCAGCGTGCAAGACAACTGTGCCCGGAGCGTCTCAAAATTGCTAAGGACGAGTTCAAGTTGATGGTTGAATTAGGTTATGCAAGACCATCCGATAGTCCTTGGGAGAGAGAATTAAGAAACTGCCACCAACACAATGTTGCCAAGTTAAAAATACCTCATTCCCCGCATAACTTGTACTAAAATTGATAGAAATAGCAATTTAGTATTGATTGATTGATTCAGAAATTGCTTATTTTTCTATGGTAGATAGGAATAGGTAGGTACGCATATATAGGTGATTACCTAAACTTGAATGTACTTTACTGGAAGGGATTTGGAACTGAATGTCATGCCTGTCTGCACTGCTGTGATTCAATACTTAAATTTTGAATAATTCACCAACAGAAATCAACCGTTTAACTAGTTACAATGCAATTATGCAATATCACGAATTTTCATGTATGTCGTTATTATTTAGTTGCGTTATCTAACAGCATCTGTATTCTTTTCTGAAATGTGAAGATCCGGAAATGAATATCCGACTAATCGTAGCTTTCTGTCCAAATTGGCAACATTGTCAAGTCCATTATCTTGGTCGCGCACTGGCGTCACACGTTTCGCGGCCTCGTCTGATCATTTGAATTCGCTCGTTCATTTTGGGGTTTTCAATATTTTTTTATACGATACATTGATGGAAAAAGTTCAAAAAATCATTTTAAGGTTTCCCAGAGCCATTTATTCCGAGAAATACTTTTTCTAGGAATGACTGGCAAAACCAATTCTTGACTTGAACACTCCTGCCATGTTTGAATATCATATACCTTCAGAACTCTGAAAACCATGGGTTGTCCAATGAATATGTTGACATTTGTTATAAGCAGCATTCTTCTACATAGAATAGGATATTCAATTTTAGTCTTTCCCTGAAGTTGCAGCGAATCATAATGAGACTTTTTTTCCAATGACCAAGTGTACGCAAACGCTTCGTTATCGATCCACAGAGCGTTAAAGTATCAAGATTTTTATTTTTTTTAGCTCATTCAGTTTTCGAAATATGCTGATCAAATTTGAAACATAGTTTACATTTTAGGGTGTAACAATCTGAAGGAATATATTTTTTCAGAGGTGAAGCGCCTTCTCGCTATACATAAACTTTTTTGTAGCGCGCCTCCCGCAGATTTCGAAATGCTAAATGACTTTTTTGTTTCGTTCATCAACTTTTTCATTATCAAGCTAAATATTTTTTTGCAAGTCGCTAGGTTCAATTAATATTTTTAACAAAAGGGAGGAACCCATTATTAGAATTGAAACAAAAACGCTACATATTTAATTTGTGATCTTAATAATCTTGATGAAAAATAAGAAACCAACGAGTCTCGACTTTTTATAAAAGGTGTTAGAAAAAAAAAGCAGTGCTGAAACTGTAATGCTCTGTATATCGGTGGACACGTCTTTATAAGGAAATAAGGTTAATGTCGACATGAAGAAAAAGTCCCAAATAATCTCCTGAAATCCTGATACCGAATTTCGAAACACCGTGTATAGAGTAGAATACTGATATATTTAGAAGTTTTGAATATAAAAATAACAATGACTATTCCACTCTAGTTCACGAGAACCAATCAGAATCGACCATTTTCACGGGTTTTCCCGTATTACTTGTTGTTCACTGAAAATTATCGGACTTGCTCTACCCATACAGAAGCCGAAATGAGCCACACCTAACCAACCAACCTCTTTTTTCATCGATAAAATTTTTGACATTCAGAATGTCAATCATGTTAGAAGCCACAATGATGGGTGTAGTGTGCACAACTCTCGCAAGGCGCTCGTTTATTGTCTCAATCATGAAATGATCATAGGAAATCCTACACGTGATACTATTTTTCCTGGAAATGTCCGTCGACTGACATACTCCAGCTAGCTGCTTTTATTTCGCTCATTACATTGTTCCAAAACTGCTCGCCTACGGCTCGAAAGTTTTGATAAACAATGTCATTCGCGAAAATGTTGTGCAAAAAGATGTCGTAAAAATCGCCGAATATTCCCGGCAAAATAGTATCCCTTGTCGTATATGTGGTATATGTGGAATATTATCATTTGATATTTCAGGTATGATCTAATCTTTTGTTAAGTATTCACTTAAATAAGTTGACATTTTTCGGGATGTTATATTGTATTATCACCATCTGTTATCATTTACATTGAACAAACAATCAGACTTTTTAGCCGAAAATCTTACAGATAAAGAAATGTCTGTCTGTAATGATTCCATGATTTCGGACTCATCTTTTTTTATTATTATTATAAGCTTCTATGCACATCAAGGAATAAATGGGTACTATTAATCCTTCATTTGAGGGTCGAAAGTGGCACTTGAATTAAACAGTTATATGTGCATTTACTCTTGAAATCAACACTTTCAGGGCACATCACCATTCAGTCAGCAATGTTGATATTTTGAAACTATTGCAGCTTCTATCAAAAAGTAGCAACAACTTTGTTACTTCAAATAGAATACCCTGTGTTTCATTGCATTTTTAGATTCTCCCTGAAGAGCTGATCGCATCAATATGTCAAACTTTGGGTATATCGGACATGATTACAGAGATATAGGATGTTCAAAATCGAGATTTTTCAACTTCAGGATTTTTTGTGTCGGAACTATTCATTATCGGCAAAAACGGCTCACATGTCCCTGTCTCAACTTTTGATTTACTATTTACTGATATTTAATCGGAACCGATAGAGGGTGATCAGAATTCTGAATCTTGAACCACCCTGTATTTGTTCCGAATAAATATCAGTAAATAGTTGGGGACATGTGAGCCGTTTTGACCGATAATGAATAGTTTCGACACAAACAAATCCTGAATTCAAAAATCTCGATTTTGAACACTCTATATCTCTGTAATCATTCTTTATAGACCCCAAGTGTGATGTATTGATAAAATCAAGTCTTCAGGGAGAATTTGAAAATACGATTAAGTACAGGTCGTTCCATTTGGAATGTCAATGTTGCTACTACTTTCTAGTAGACGCGGCAACACTGCATTGTCGAACATATTTGTAATGAATATATATTTTCATGAATTTCTCCCGACTGATTCTCGGTATAAAGATAATGTATGCTAGTATGCTCGTCGTGACATACCCTGTATTTATATTTAATACCATAAGTAATACTATTTTGCCGTAAATATTCGGCGATGGGCTAGTGGACTGGTAGTGAATAATTATAATCAAGTTATTGAAAAGTTGTTAGAGCTCTCAATAATTATAATCAAGTTATTGAAAGTTGTTAGAGCTCTAGCGTTGAATGAAACTACATCCAAATAAAATATTTCGTTCGCTCTAATAGGATGACGCAATGATATTATAGTTATCAATTTGTGACTATTTTGAGCAACCAGCTTATCAAAATATTTCTTACACTCCATAACAAAACATCATGAAAATATTGGCTATAGAGACTCGGCAATGATGTGCTGAATGCTGAGAGCTGACAAGACAACGCCCACAGTCACGTTTACCGAACCAAATATCCTCTAGTGTGAATCAATATAATTATTAATAACACAATAACATTCATCATAAGCAATGAGTCACAAGATATAAGAGATTATAATTGAGGATTTATGAATATCAAATTGATGATATTTCTGGGCTGTCCCTACTCACGAAATACTTGACGTCAGTTTTCATTTGCAGTAAATGCCTAGCTGTTCGAAAATTAATCGACCGAAAAATATATATAAAAATATGGAATTGACAAAGCAATTGAGCTATGAACTATTTGAAAAATAAAAAAAGTCCGCTAGTCCATTGTTACGACAGCTTGTTGCCTAATAATTTCACGAATGACATTGTGTATCGACACTTTCGAGCGAAATAAAAGCAGCTAGCTGGAATATGTCAATCGAGGGATATTTCCAGGAAAAATAGTATCACGAATGGGGAAGTTTCCTATATTGAGGTTTTTATCTCACTCCTAAAAAAAAAAAGAGGAACTTGGCTCCTCCACCATTCCTATGATGTACTTTCTGAAAATCCACAATCACACAGAGTTTTGGTTCAAATACGAATCCCTGTGCCAGTACGACGTTGCCGATATCATCAATATGTCTAGATTTCCGGAAATTGTTCTTTGAATGCATAATAACTATATCATAACAGCAATGGGATATAATGGGATGTTCAATCCTACTTTGTCCAATATTATGAATAATTCCCAAAAATCCCTCATTGGCTGAATGAAGTTGATTACTTATAAAGATAAATTGTGATATTTTGCGATAGTATCTATAATTTTTCACTATCGTTATATTCATAACTTGACAGTCATTTCTTTGCTAATGAAATCGTTTCTTAATAACACGCATCTATTTTCTAGGAAAGTTGCAGATTATATCTTGCAACAGCGCCTAATACTTAGAGTCCGTCCACACCACTCAAAATACTGACAGGCACAACAAGAGGAAGGAGCCATGGGTGTCGGCTTCATTCTGTTCTGACCGATGACAGTAAATTAGTAAGGATAGGATCATTGAATATAGGCGATAGTGCTTCATTGATTCAATGATATTTTCGTTTAGGATCGAGCTCTATTCGAGATATTTCAATGCATAAATGATATGACCATAACCTGTCTGAATGAAGCCAACTACCTTCTGCATTCCTGCTACCAGTCGTCTTCTATTTTTTTCAATCGTTTTTCACTCGTTAGCTATTCGCTAGCTATATTCTTCACCGTCAGCTGTTTTCAGGCTAGACTCAGAATGTACGTCACAGTTTGCCTCCCAGAAAATTATAAATTGCTTCAATTTGAAAATGAAAACGACTTGGACTTTATCGGTCGCCATTCTGTACAGCGTGGACATGAAACTGGAAAGTTCCTAACTTATTTTATGGAAGTTCATGATTGAGAGAATGAACGAGCGCCTCGCGAGAGTTGCACAAACTGCATCCATCATTCTGGCTTCCAACATAATTGACGATTTAAATGTCTAGAATTTTATCGTTGAAAAAATAAACAAAAAATATCGCGGTAATACAGGAGAAATAGTGAAAATAGTCGATTCTCATTGTTTCTTGAGAACGAGAGTGGAATAGTCTTCTCAATATTGAATCATCGTTTTTCCTGTCACAGATAAAAAATAGTGCATTATACACGGGGAAAATATTAGCTCAAGGTTGTGTCGGCACGCAAATATTCATTTCTAAGAATATTGTTTCGATGTCGGCGAAAAAAATACCTTGACAGATTTGACGTTTCCGATGGGCATTTATACTGACCTTGAGGATAACAACATCGGTGTTTTCAAGAGCGAGCTCTTCCAATTTAGGGCCGATCATCTTGCAAGGACCACACCAAACTGCATTGAAATCCAGGACCACCAATTTGCCACCGGCTTCAGCGATTTTCGAGTCCAAATCGGCCTGCAAAAAATCACATTTGAACAAGTTGTCCAGAAAATTAGGTTAAATAATAATATCGATAATTATTATCGATAATCGTCGATACAAAATCAGATTGAAAATTATCGATTCATTGGAAATATCGGCCTGCAAAAAATCATCTTTATACAGGGTGTCCAGTGAGCACATTTATCGTCGAAACGATAATCAACATCAATAATTTTCGGATTTTTTTAAGTCTCTTGGATCGCACGAAAGGAAATTCATTTAATGTTCGTAGAACATCGTGCGTACCTAGGGAGGATAGGGAGAGGAGGTAGGTGTTGAATTTTTGTTTCGAACTTTTGGAGGTTATAACTTCTTGGCGATACTTCCATTGGCACAGAATCCCAAAGCTTCGCCGTTCTATAGACGAACGAGTTTTGGTAGAATGTTGTTCGACATATTTCAAGGTGAACGACGAGAGGATGTTCTGACTGGGCATGTCGAGTTCGTCTGACTGGTATTGCTAGTGATGGAATAATTATAGCAGAGATTTCTGAGGAATATTTCCCGAGAAGTACCTATAGAAAAGTGAAATGTCACCGACATTTCTATGGTGTTCTAATGGGGTCAAAGAGTTGGTGAGTGTGACATCACCGATCAAACAAATGGCTCTTCTCTGGATGGAATCTAAGAGCATCAGCGTATTTTTGGGGTGTTGAACCCCATACATGAAAACAGTATTCGAAAACTGGCCGTATCTGATGTGCTTTGAAGATCATGAAAAGCTGTTGAGGTCTAGAGTAGATTTTCGCACGAAACAAGAATCCGAGTTTGTGTGAAGCAGCTTTGCGATAGATCTGACATGGTTTTCAAAATTTTCGTTGTTTCAACCGATAGCACTTGCGTAATTATAGCCAATCATTCGGTATTATTCTGATAACACTGCATTGTCTTCGATAATTCACATTGAACTTCCAAAAAGAAAACTACTAAGACTCACCTGCATTTATAATCTTCTTATATCATCTTCTCAAGTTATAGTTCAGTGACGATTACATATGAAACACAAGCGCAGGATAGACAACAAACAGAAGTATGCAACACACATTACACCAAGCATTGTTGAAACACTCAAAACTATCTATTGAATCAATTTATTTCACCAAGATAAACAAAAACCCGACAATAGTAGTTTCTTTAACAAGTGCGGAATGTGATACTTTTCCTAACCCTAACGCGTCGTTTGCCCATTTGCAATCGCGTGCAGAAAAGTCACTTTACGTATTAGGTGTGTACACTATTTTTTTAACTAGCGTGCGGAAAAAAACATAAATTCCCCATTCCTACACTCATTTTATTGTTGAAAGTTTTCTCCGCACTAGTGTGGAATTATGTGTTACAGCCGTAGAAGAAGTATAATGTATAACTAGCACAGAATGCCAATATCACACTCGTATGATGTGCAGCATTCGCCTTCGGCTTCATTTTCGTGGGAAATGATTATCATTTCATACTAGTTGAATAATATACTATTTTAATATGCAAATAGGTATATCAAAAAAGAAAACTCGAAGTCGACTCCTCAAGTTTAATGGTCCAAAGATGCTTCAATAAGGTTTGAGACATGTTTTGGCCATTCAAATGACCATCTTCAGTCAAATTGGTACATCAAAGTGTATGTGGAATTTTTTTTTAAAACATCTTGAAGGGAAAAAGGAGAACACTATGTGGAAATTTTTTTAAAACATCGTGAAGGAAAAAAGGAGGAGAACACTTCATCTAAATACATAATTATTCAATTTGAAATTGAAAAATGGTATTTAAAAAAGCTAATTTTGAAAGGGAGGCAAAAAGCCAATCCCTCATTGAGAACATGAACTTCGTCAGAGGTAGCCGAAGAAAGGGATCTTCTGAGGGATTCTCCCTTTCGAAATTACATTTTTTAAATACCATTTTTCAATTTCAAATTAATTAATTATGTATTAAGATAAAGTTTTCTCCTTTTTTTCGCCTTCACGATGTTTTAAAAAAATGTCCACATACACTTTGATGCACCAATTTGACTGAAGATGGCCATTTGAATGGCCGAAACATGTCTCAAACCTTATTGAAGCAGGATTGACTGCATCTTTTCAACATTAAACTTGTGGAGACGACCTCGAGTTTTCTTTCTTGACTATTTCACTCCACTTCCAGTATGGACTACTACAGAAGATTTATATCAAAGTGCCTATAAATTCATTGAGAATCAACACGAACCTGTCAGTGCAATTAGCTAAGAGAATATTGAAAATTTAATACCAAATTGTACTCCACCAAACACAATCAAGTCAAAAAAATGGATGTGGAACCAGTTTGAACAGTTTTGCAATATATTAAGTAAAAAACTTGTCAGGGTGGGAATAAGAAATGCAGATACAAAATGGTTGACACCATAATTGGCAAATCCTGAACGATGTTCCATAAGAATGTTTAATAAAATTAAAATTATAATAAAAACGTACCAGTGGGTCGGAATGAAATTGGCAAATAATGTTTGAAGAAATAAGCTGAGAAAAAATGAACAATAACTAACCATTCGAGCCAACTTACTTTGGTTTCTCATCTTGTGAAAAAAAAAAATTACAGTAACAAGAACTCGAACGAAAAGCTATCAGAATAACAGCATCTTCGCTGTAGCCATATTCACATACAGTTTGTTGTGTATCAGCCAAATGGAATAGATTCGATACCTAATGAATAAACGCTCGCACACGTCGATTGATATTTTTAGAAGCGCATTTTTTCAACGAAAACTTTCTCATCACAAATGCATCACTCTCTATTGAATTCAATTTTTGAATTCTTCATGAAATTATAGACGTATTTCATCTTCAATGTCATATGCCCATCTCAACTGTTTCGGAAATATGGAGTGTTTTCAGATTTGTTACAAATTGTTGTCTGACTGCATGCCAGTAGTTGTCAGTGCTATTATAGTCGCTCGAATATCATTAATTGCATATCTGAAAAATGATCCATTCAACAGAAATACACAAAATACCAAATCTACAGATGATTGGTTAAGGAGATAACACACGGACACAATTTAGAAGTTACTGCCTCCTGCCTCATTGCAGGCATATATTTCCGAAACAGTTGAAGATTGGTATTGGACATTTTAGTTAAACATAAAATATGTCTAGAATCGAAAAATATTGAATAAAATACATCAGGTCGTTGATTCGATATAAGAAAGTTGGTATTGGTCGTTGATAGATGACACACCCTGTAGAGAAAGTTTCCATCGAAAATAATATGCTTCTAAAAATATCGATCGACGTGTCTGAGCGTTTTTTAGAACACGCCCCCGTTTATTCATAATCCAATTAATTCCATTCTGCTGAAAACACTCAATATTTCCGATACGATTGAAAATGGCTATAGGACACTGTGAATGATATACGTCTGGAATTTTGTGATGAATTAAATGAAATGAGTGAAATACAGGGTGATGCATTCGAAATAATAAGGTTGGTATTGGCCGCAGTGACATGACACACCCTGTATAGGAAGTTTGTGCTCAAAAGAATGCGCTTCAAAAAATATCAATCGACGTGTCCGAGCGTTCTTTAGAACACGCCCCTGTTTATCCATAATCTAATTTATTCCATTCCGCTGAAAACACTCAATATTTCCGATACGGTTCAAAAAATATCAATCGACGTGTCCGAGCGTTTTTTAGAACACGCCCCTATTTAATTCATAATCCAATTTATTCCATTCCGCTGAAAGCACTCAATATTTCCGATACGGTTGAAAATTGCTACCTATTGGAAATTGTCAATGATATACGTCTGGAATTTTGTGACAAATTAAAAAACTTAGTAAAATACAGGGTGCTTCATTCGAAATAAGAAAGTTGGTATTGGCCGCTGTGACATGACTCACCCTGTATAGAAAATATTTGATCGAAAGAATACGCTTCTAAAAATATCGATCGAAGTGTCCGAGCGTTTTTTTAATACACGCCCCTGTTTATTCATAATCCAATTAATTCCATTCTGCTAAACACACTCAATATTTCCGAAACGATTGAAAATGACTATAGGACATTGTGAATGATATACGTCTGGAATTTTGTAGAGAATTCGATAATTGAGTGAAATACAGGGTGTTCCATTCGAAATAAGAAAATCGGTATTGGCCGCTGTGACATGACACACCCTGTATAGAAAATTTTTGTTCAAAAGAATGGGCTTCTGAAAATAAAGATCGAAGTGTCCGAGCGTTCATTCATTATCGAATTTATTCCATTTGGCTGATACACACATGATGTAAAAAATCATAGAAACATCATGGGAGGAATCAGAAGAAATACAAAATACGTATATTTTTTTTTCTCCATATTTTTCAGCACAAAGAAGAAATACAAAATACGAATAATTTTTTTTCTCCATATTTTTCAGCACAGTAGTATAATTACTTTGTCACTGTTTCCGCGATACACATGCTGTGAAACCTTATCTTGGTCACACTGTACAGGGTGGATGGAATTTGAGCCTCATCATAGGGATCTCGTAAACCGTAAGAGATACAGGGTCGGTTTACAAAATGCCGTTTTGAAATTAGAAGTATTCCGAAAACATCCAGAGATTTTTGGAAAAAATCGAATATTCCGATTAATTACTAAACTCGTTCGTCATATTGGATCCGCCATTTTGAATTTCCAGATTTTGACAAACGAACCAGAATCTCCGACCCCAAAAACCCCCAAATACCAATTTTGAATGAAATTGGATAACAATACTCGTCCGCCATATTGGATCCGCCATCTTGAATTGTCGATTTAAAAAATAGATTACGACCGATTCTCATACCTACCGAATACGCACAAAAAATTTCATACGACTCGGTCGACTAACCACTAACACCGTGACCGGGACAGGAGAATTTTATATATTAGATTACCAATAATGATAGGTACAAATATTGTCAAATGATTAACTTCATAAAATTTACAATACAAAAAATTAATTTACGAATATTGAACAGAT